GCCTCGAACTCACAGAGATCCTCCTGGCTCTGCCTCCCGAGTGCTGGGATTAAAGGCGTGCGCCACCACCGCCCGGCCCTCAGTTTTGCCTTTGGGAAATGGGTGAGCACTCACTTTCCGCTGCTGTTTCTCCCAGGCCGGGTCCAACAGCAAGTCGCGGTCCCAGTCTTCCTCCTGTTCCATGTACTCGCCGCCCCCGCCGCCCGAGAAGGGCCCCTCCCCGGCCCCTAGACCCTCGGGCTGCATAACCATCATCATCTTGCTCAGGATCTTGGCTCTGCTCCGCTCTGCTGGGCGAGCTCTTGAACGCTCAGGCCGGGTTAAGTAGGGCCCATCCCAGCCCCAGATCAGATTCGTACTAAATATGGGGGTGGTGGGTGGGGCCAGATAGGGGGCGAGGGATCTTGGGTCTGGACCAGAGAAGAGATTGCGCTGGAGTCAAAGATTGCGGAATCGCGGGGGGATGCTGGACTGACTACTGATCCTGACAGCGGGTTCGCGTTTCAGCTCTGTGGTTAGCTTGCTGTGTGATCTCGGGAGAGCCATGAACCTTGTCTGTTTCCACATCTGTAAACTGGAGTCCAGGTGGTGGCTACAGGCCATCCTAAAGGCTGCCCTTTGGACCCGAGTCTGCCCCGCTTCCAGCACTGCGCGCGAGAAAACAGACCCTTATGTCTGTCTCACAGTCAGTAACACGGAGGCAACAAGTTGTTTGGGGAATTTTCTAGGGTGATGGAGACACCCGAGCATAGGAAAGGCTCGCGGCCAGATGATAGGGCCAGCCAGGTCTATTAATACCGGGGCGGCTGTAGAGGAGTGTGGGGAGAATGTGCTGAGCCGGGAAACCCCGACGCCACACGGGTTGCAACTCAATCCCTTGGTCGTGGCAACCAGCCACACCAGGGGGCGTGGTCCCTGCGGTACGCTGGGCGTACACTTCACTCCGACACTGGGAGGCAGCACCAACCGGATTTCGAAATCTGATCTGTTAGCCAATCACTTCTCTGTATCTGTGGCTCCGCCCTGTGACTCTAACGCGCAACGCACCCCGCAGAGCTCCCATTGGTCGTGACAGACATCCGTCCGCTGCTATGCCCTCCCCAATACGGAAGCGGTGGGATCCCAGGGGTCCGACAGCGGGTGGGTCGGAACCATGGGGGAGCCCTGGGCGGCTCGGGGTGCAGAAGGAGCGCCCGCGCGGTTGCCACTGGTGCTCACCGCGCTGTGGGCTGCAGCCGTGGTATTGGAGCTGGCTTACGTGATGGTGCTGGGACCCGGGCCGCCCCCGCTGGGACCCCTGGCCCGGGCTTTGCAACTGGCGCTGGCTGCTTATCAGCTTCTTAACCTGTTGGGCAACGTGGGACTCTTCCTGCGCTCCGATCCCAGCATTCGGGGCGTGATGCTGGCTGGCCGCGGCCTGGGCCAGGGTTGGGCGTGAGTGTCGGGCACCGGGGTCTGCGGGCAGAAGCGGGGTGGGGGTGGGGGGCCCGGGACCAAGAGAGGCCCCAGGACTTGCGTTGTCAGAAACCAGATGACGTTAGTATTCGGGTTGTTAGAGCCAAAGAACTCCTTTAGAACCTGCCATCCGCTAGCTCCTTACCCATTCAGATACTGATCAGGCTCTGTTCCAGGGACTCAAATAAAAACAATGTCCGACCTCCTGGAGTTGATTTCAGAGGCCGAAGGGGCAGATAATAAATTACAAGCTCAATGAATAAGCAAATTGCATAAGATGGACGATAAAAGATGGCGTGAAAAAAATAGGTCAGTGTAAAAAAGGCGAGGAGCATAAGTTTCAGTTATTTTTGTTTGTATTTATGACGTGTGTCCTAGTCCAGGCGCGCATGTGGAGGTCGGAGGACAACTTTCAGGAGTTCTCTCCTAGCATGTGGGTTCTGGGAACTGAACAGGTCGTGAGGCCTGTGTAGCAAATGCCTTTAACCACCGAACCATCTCCCCAGCCCAAAGTTTCAGTTTTAAATACGTGGTCAATTTTCAGCACAAAAATTTTAGGTGGTGGATTTGCTAATTAGCTTGATTTAATTCATTAACATTTTACCAAAAAGCCACAGCATCTGCAAATATATTAAGACTAACTCATCCATTTGCAAATAAAAACTAAAACATTAAAATAAAAAAGTGGTCAAGGTGGACCTCACTGAGACATTTGTACAGAGAAGTAGTGAAGTTAGCCACTTGGGAACTTTTGAACTGGTTTCTGGAAGGAGGAAGCAGGACCACAAAAAGGCAGAAGCCGCTGTGTGTCCAGAATACTCCAGGACCACCAGGGCAGTGGCTGGAGTGGAGAGAGGGAAAGAGGTGTTAGGGGCGGAAGCACTTCCAAGCCATTGAAAACTGTGTTTTTCAGTGGGAATGTCACAGGAGGTAGCTGCCTCAGACCTGCAAAGGTTAGAGTTGGAGGTGCCTGGCAAGGACAGTGGCTGCTCCTGCTTCCCCAAGATGGTCTCTGGGGCTGAGGTTGGGCATGGCCTGGGGCACTGAGAGCTGTTGGGGGCACTAACACGCGGTTATTCCCCCTCCCCTGCCTCTGCAGTTACTGTTACCAGTGCCAAAGCCAGGTGCCGCCGCGCAGTGGGCACTGCTCTGCCTGCCGCGTGTGCATCCTGCGTCGTGACCACCACTGCCGCCTCCTGGGCCGCTGTGTGGGCTTCCACAACTACCGGCCCTTCCTGTGCCTGCTGCTTCACGCGGCTGGGGTCCTGCTCCACGTCTCGGCGCTGCTAAGCCCTGCTCTGTCAGCCCTGCTGCGGGCCCACTCGGCCCTCTACACGGTGGCTCTGCTCCTGTTGCCCTGGCTCATGCTACTCACAGGTGGGGAGCTTTCTGAACCTTGCGCTGTGCTGGGGAGCAAGGCCCCCACCCCTGGGAGGGGGCGTGTCCAGCTGGTTCTCTTGGGCAATATTCTGGAGTCCCTGTCAGTTAAGGAGAGAGGGAAGCCGCCTGCATAGCTGAGTGTGAAGTACTGTGATTTACATGGGGCGGTCTTGGAGCCGAGTTCTACCCCCCAGAATCAAGGGTCCCCGAGCTCGCTACAGAAGAGGAAAGGCTAGTATGAGAGTCCACGGGTTGTTGGGGTGCTAGAAGGTTATCTTAGGGGAGATGGGCCTAAGTCCTCTGTCCCCCAGCCTCTGGAAGCCACTGAGGTGCTCATGCTGGTTTCCTTTACGGGCTCTTCTATACATTTCTCGATGGTTCTGTGTTTTCCGAGGCTAGGTGCCTTTCTGCGGCCATTATAGCCTACCTCACAGTTCCCTCTCACTGACTCGGGCTCCCAGCCTCTCAAACCTGGGACCTGTTGAAACAAAAAGCACCAAAACTATCAACAGCCCTATCCATGCCCAGATGGCTTACTTTGCTGTCCCTTCCTCCCTCTCTCCCTCCCTCCCTCCCTTCTTTCTTTTCTACACAATCTTGCTGTGTAGCCCAGGCTGGCTTCGAACTCACGATCCTCTTCCTCAGCTTCACAAGCACTGATGAGGCTGCAGGCATGTGCTCACTCCCGCCTCCCGTCAGAACCCAGAATGTGTCACCCCATTGGGGTCCCTCTTTGTGCCCTCCACCCTCTGCCCTTTCTCCCCGGTTCTGTTCATCTTCCCTGCGACGTCTGCACTGTGCCTGCCTCGTGCCCTTCATTTCCACCTTTCTCCTGCCAGTCTCTCAAGCATCTGATCTTTCTTCCTTCCCCTGGTTACTAAGAGCTTCCAGATAAACATGATGTCATGTTCACGGCTAGGTTCACCTTGTTCTCCATTTGAAGCTCGGGTTGGTGGGAACACTGAGATTTGTGGCCAACCTGGGTTACATATAGAGCTTAAGGTGAGCCTGGGCTGTTTATTTTGGGACCTTGTCTCAAATATGTTCCTGTGTTCAACTCCCCCGGCGGGCTGGAGGGCCCACGGCTTTCGGAAGCTGATGCCCCCCCTTGCTGGAGGCCTCTGATTGTTTTGTCCACGCCTCTTCCTGTGCCCCAGCTGTCTTCATTGGCTTTCTTGGGGTTCCCTTACCTTCTATAGTCCTTCTCCTTATTTAGCCTCCTCCTTGTGTAGGCTCACAGCTGCCTCTCCTGCTCCCACCTGGCCTCTCCTCTGCCCTTCCGCCTAGAGTGGTACAAGCCAGGCTCCGTCTCTAGGAAATCCAGCTATCTTCTTGCTTTCAGGGAACCTCTCAGGCTCAGGAGCTTCCAGCACTGTGTTCTTGATGTGTTTTGCCTTTGGCCTCACCTATAGCTCAGACTTGGATAGTTCCACCTGTCTTCCCCTTTGATCTCCCTTTTGTCCGCTCTCCACAGACTCTGTATCCTGTATTGAGTGGAGAAGACCTCTCCTCTCCCTCCACACACTCTGGCATGTCCAGCTGCTCACGGAGCCCGCCCCCCTTCAGGTTTCTTCTGCACACAGATCTGCTGGGCAACAGGATTTCTTAAACTGCCAGGCCATTGACACTGTCTCCTAAGAGTCTCTCCTGGACAAGATGTTCTCTTCTCCTTTTATCAAAATAGATTAAGTCTATTTCCTCTATCCTTAGTATTTTTTTGCACAGCATTTCTGCCATGGTTTGGTGTGTGCGCGCGCGCACATGTGAAGGTCAGAAAACAACCTTGGGCACCTTCCACTTTCTGTTTGAGACAGAGTCTCTCATTGGCCTGGGACTTTGACAAGTAGGCCAGGCCAGCCAGCCAATAGGCTGCAGAGATCCACCTGTCTCTGCCTCCCATCCTATCATCGCTGGAATTACAGGCATATGGCACCACATCAGATTTTTATGGGGGTCCTGAGGATCTGAGCTCAGGGTCTCATGCTTGCAAGGCAAGCAGTTCATTGAATGAGCCATTTCCTCAGACCAAGTACTCTTTTACTGATACAAAACACATCACTTCAGTCATTTGGAAGTGTACAATTCAGTAGATTTTAGTATTCTAAACATACTAAATATCTGTATTTAGTATATAGTGTAGTGCAATCATTACCACATATTTCAGAACATTTTCACTCCATAGAGCAATGCTGTGACCAGTAAACAGCCCTCGTGTGACTTCCTAAATCCCCTCAAGCCCTGACAATCATTAGTCTACTTTCTGTGCATGTGTTTGCCCATTTAAGGCAGCTCACAGAAAGCACATCCCACAAGCCCTTTATGCCTGGCTTCTTTCACTTAGCACAATGTTTCATGGCCTCTGGTGGTCAATTCAGCAGGAACTAGCTGCCTGCTGAGGCCAAGATGGTAAAAGATGCTATACTTTCCCATGTAACACAGATCCCAGGTGTAACTGAGTAACGGCATTTAGAGAATGGAGGAATGAGTCCCACTTCTTGGGTGGGAGGAAGGCAGGATTTGGGTTTGGGAAGGCCAGCGAAAAGCCCTGAGACCCTTTCTGTTTTCTCTCCACAGGCAAAGTGTCTCTGGCCCAGTTCGCCTTAGCTTTCGTGGTGGACACATGTGTGGCAGGTGCACTTCTGTGTGGTGCTGGACTGCTTTTCCATGGGATGCTCCTGCTGCGGGGCCAGACCACCTGGGAGTGGGCCCGGGGTCAGCACGCCTATGACCTGGGCACCTGTCACAACCTGCAGGCAGCCCTGGGTCCGCGCTGGGCCCTAGTCTGGTTCTGGCCTTTCCTGGCTTCCCCTTTGCCTGGAGATGGGATCACTTTCCAGACACCAGCTGATATGGGTCTCGTGGCTTCCTGAGTCCAGGGAGAGCCAGAACTGAATAGGGAGAAAGGGAGCAGAGGAGAACGCTGGGAACTTGCTTTCAACTTCATGCCAGCCACGGGAGGAAGGCCAGGTTGGCCTTTCATGCCTCTAGTGGGCAGCTCTAGCTCCCTCCTTGGACCTGCCCAGTGTGGGCTCTTCCACATGGAGAGTTCAGACACTGCAACTCTGCCCCTTTTGGTGGTGGTGGTGGGGTTTGGCAAGGGGTCTACTTGGCTTGCCTGTCTGCCCCTCTACCGTGCCCACCTGCTTCTTGGCCTCCCCCATCTTTGCTGGGTTCCTGTCCCTCACGTTGTCTTGCTTGTTGTTTTCCAGTTCCCATGGTTGTCAGGCCTGGAGACTACTGAAGGCATGAGATCCTAACGGGCCTTGGAAGGGTGTGGTGGGATCTAGGCAGGGAGAAGCCAAGTGTGCCCTAGAGGATAGCACTCCGTAGACACATCTCTGCAGCAGGGGTTTTAGGGAAGCTCTTGTAGCTCACCTGTGTGTGGGGCCAGGGTTGGGATCTTTGTTCTGTAAGAAACATAAAGCCCTGCTAGACCGTGTGACAAGACTGTGGGGTAGAAATGTAGACCTTGCTCAAGGGAATCCACCTGCTTCTGCTTTTACCTTTTTTTTTTTTTTTTTTTTAATTTCAAGACAGGGTTTCTCTTTGTAGCCTTGGCTGTCCTAGAACTCACTTTGTAGACTAAGCTGGCTTCAAACTCAGAGATGATCCTGCCTCTGCCTCTGCCTCCCAAGTGCTGGGATTAAAGGCATGCGTCACCACAACTGACTTGCTCCTGCTTTCTTTCTTTCTTTCTTTTTTTTTAAAGATCTTTTATTTATTTATTTTATGGATGAGTGCTCTAATTGCCTGTATGCATTTATGCCAGAAGAGGGCATCAGATCCCCCTAGAGATGGTTGTGAGCCACCATGTGGTTGCTGGGAATTGAACTCAGGACCTCTGAAAGAGCAACCTGTGCTCTTAACCGTTGAGCCATCTCTCCAGCCCCTTGCTCCTGCTTTCTGAGTGCTACAATTAAAACATTCACCACCATGCCCGGCCCAAGAGGTTAGAGTTAAACCCAGGTCTTTTAATCTGCTTTACTTTTCACGGCTGAAGTGAGTAGGTAAAACCAACCAGCTTCCAGGTGTTCCAGAGCCTGTGAAAGATGGTTTTAATATTTATTTTTGTGTATGTCTGTCTGGGCACATGAGTGTGCTTTAACGCATGCACGGTCATGTATATGGGGGTGCCCATGGAGACCATAAGAGGGCATTGAATCCTCTGTAGCTAGACTTATAGGCTGTTGTGAGCCATCTGATGTGGGTACTGGAAACTAAACTTGGGTCCTCTGCAAGAGTAATATACACTCTTAACCACTAAGCCATCTCTCCAGCCCCTTTTTTGCTTTAAAAATCTATTATTATTGAGACAGGGTCTCATTTGGTATTCCAGGCTGGCCTGGAACTTACTATGTAACCCAGGCTTCCCTGGAACTCAACAGCAAATCACCTGCCTCAGACTTCCAATCCCTGGGAATGCAGGTGTGGGGAATCAACACACCCAGCTTTCAGCATCTGATGTAAATATAGTAAAAAACTAAACATGGCAGGCTTCAGCACCCCAGTTATCTCTGTTTGCCTTTAGACTCTCTAAAATAGAGAAGTAAAAGTAACATAAATTTATAAGGGGAAAGAAGATAGATGTCAGTATCCCAAAGAGCCTGACAATGTTTTGAAACATGACAGAGACTGGGAGCTTGTTTGTCTTAGCAGAGAATTAAAAACTAAAATTACTGCTTCCTAAAGAGAGGGAGGATAAGCAAGGCAGAACTTCCCCAGCACTCTGAAAGGTGAGGCGAGGCGAGGCTTTGGGCTAATCTTGGCTGGGGTGTTGGCAGCTTATGTCAGGAGGTGTGAACTGCTGTTCCTGAGATCTCATCCACCCCTGCAGCCACCCTTCCGGGATGTGGTGGTATCTGGGATGTGGTAGGGTGATGAGGACAAACTGGACCAGGGAAGCTCTGGATCTCAGGGGCAACAGCCAAGGTAGGACTGGGGGGCTGGATCAGAAATAGAGCTAAGCAAGAAAATGTTGGCCGTCGTCTGCAGACAGTCATATGCCGAGTCCTCAGGAGCCTACCCTCTTGACAGGCTTGGCCTGTACTCCTAGAAGTCATTTTTTTTTGTCCCTCAACATGCTCTGTTGCTTTAGAAAGACATTAGGAACACTTGGTGCTGTGTGTGGCCTTGACAGATCTGGTGTCCTCTTCTGTGTTCCCCCTCAGCCTGCAGATTATTGAATTTTCATGTGTTTTTATTTGAGATATGAAAGGTTCCTTGGAACCCTCACCACAGCTTGTCTGGGAAAACAACCTGAAGTCCCCGCTGCGCCCTCCCTGGTAGGAGATGAGTGGCATGTTACATGTGCTTGTGTTGACTCTGTATGCTTTGGTTGTATATGAATGAACTCATACCAAGTTTATTCTTCTGTGGCTCGCCTTTTCACTCATATGAGATGTGCTCAAATTACTGCATGTCGTGGTATGGTACTCTTCCACATGGAGCTCTGAATACACCACAACCAAACCCCCCCCCCCCCACTGGTCATTTTTTTCTACTTAGTGGGAATCACCCACTAGGAGCCCTTACTCTTCCATACCCATCTGAGGACCAGTTCTTCAGATTTGACCAATAAAATGCATTCTCCAGTGTAATTCCACTGAAGTAATCAGTGGAACCTAACACTGGCACAGCTTGGTGAAAACTGGCGTCTCTGTGAAATTCAACTGTCCAGGTCATGAACTTGGTTTATCTCCTCACTATTTTCTTAGTTCTTGAGACAGGGTCTCACTTTGTAGCTCTGGCTGGCCTAGAACTTACTAAGTAGATCAGGCTGGCCTCAAACTCAGAGATCTACCTGCCTCTGTCTCTGAAGCACTGAGATTAAGGGTGTGTACCATCATGTCAGCTTTAAATATTTTCAATAAAGCCCTTTTTTCTGATGAACATGTCTTTTGAGTGGATTCACTTTTGTATTTTATATCTTAATTATACATGACTTATGAAGAGATTGTTGAGCACACATAAAGATCACTAGATCTGTTTGTATTTTTTGTGAATGGGAGGAATAACTTATACCACGCACGTGCGTGGAAGTCAGAGGGTAACTCGAGGAAGTCAAGATCTCAGGAACAGCAGTTCACACCTCCTGACATAAACGGCCAACACCCCAGCCAAGATTAGCCCAAAGCCTCGCCTCACCTTTCAGAGTGCTGGGGAAGTTCTGCCTTGCTTATCCTCCCTCTCTTTAGGAACCAGTAATTCTAATTTTTAATTCTCTGCTAAGACAAACAAGCTCCCAGTCTCTGTCATGTTTCAAAACATTGTCAGGCTCTTTGGGATACTGACATCTATCTTCTTTCCACATGGCAGCAGGAGTTGAATTCAGGCCGGCAGGCCTGGCAGGGGTGTCTTTACTGAGCCGTCCCAATGGCCCTCACTGTAGATCCTTATGTTCACTGTATTTGTAATCATATTTTCTTTGTTCTTCCTTTAAAAAATGACTTTGGGGAGGGGTGTATTAAGGGGGACAGGGGGAAGGGAGTGGCAAGAGAGGAGGGAGGCTTCGGTCAGAAAGTAAAATAAAAACTATTTTGGCGGAGGCAGCAGTTCCCAGACCGGCCTGAAACTATGTAGCCCAGGGTGGCCTTGAACTTTGATATTCCTGCCTCAGCTTCCTGAATTCTGGGATTAGAGGTGTGACCCGCATCTGGCTTCCTTTTACATTTTTATGGTTCTTGCTTCTCTGCATGGATGAGACCACTATACAATATAGAATGCAGCTTCAGTTTTGTTTGTTTGTTTGTTTTTTGAGACAGGGTTTCTCTGTTGCAGCACTGGCTGTCCTGGAACTCGTTCTGAAGACCAGGCTGGCCCTGAACTCACAGAGATCCACCTACCTCTGCCTCCCGAGTATTGAGACTAAAGGCGTGCACCACCACCACCACCACCACCACCACCACCACCACCTGGCTTTTTTACTTTATTTTAAACTTTTTTATGTGAACGAGTGCCTACATGTATGTATGTGCACCAGGTGGGTGCCTAGTGCCAAAAGTGGTGGTCAGGTCTCCTGACACTGGAGTTAGAGAATTGTGAACCACACTATATGGGTGCCAGGAACTGAGCCCAGATTCTTTGCAGGATCAGCAAATGCTCTTAATCACTGCACCCCCATCCAGCCCATTTCTGACTTTAGAGGGGATGGATTGTTTAATTAAATAAATTCAGTATGAATTTTTCAAATTAGATGTTATTAGTTAGGCTATACACAGACAAATAAATGCAACGATTAAATACATCTTTGAAAGGATACCATGAGGACTGAACAGAGGAGTTGAGAACTAAGAAAAACAGCTTGAAACTTAAAAGCCCACAAAATACTCAGTCTCAGAAAAACAAGCAAACAATGACCATAGAAGAAGAGAGAAGAAAATCAGGATCATTTATCAGATGTTGGGCTTAACTGGAGCTCCAGAGAGAACAGTACAGCCCTGGGACGGAATGCTCATCTATCCCCACCTCACAAAGCAACAATCAGGACCAGTAGAAACAGCACAGAAACCAGAGGCCACGGGGGCTTTGTCTATAGGAAAACGATTTCCAGCTTTCATTTACCACCCAAACTACTACATGTGTGAGCTGAATACAGCAATGTCCAGACAAGCAACATTAGAACAGTCTTAAAAAGAAGCTCCCATGGCTATGCTTTACCAAATGAGGGCAGAATAAGAAGGAAGATGGGGTCTAGCCCTGGATAAGGGAAAAGGGAGTTCCTATAAGGGAACTCTCTTATAGGAGTCTACACAGAAGCAAGATATGAGGGAGGTGTCCTAAGAAAAGAACTGAGGTTGGATGGAGAAAAAAAAAAAAAAAGCAGGTACCAATTCCATGAAAACATCTGAAAGCTCAAAAACCGTTAGTTAATTCTCAGCTTTGAATAGATATGGAGAGAGTGCACATCAAATATTTTTGTTCTGATTTCACAGCTTGACAGGGGTGAAAGGGACTGGAATGTTACCTGACCAAATACACAATCTAGCCTTGTCATAACCCAGCCTCACTCACATAATCCCCGTGACAAGGGGCCCATCACCGTCTTGAGCAGACCTTCCATCCCTGCCAAGCTCTGCAGGTTAGGCTGGGATTTCTGACTGACAGCAACACTCCCTCCCCCTCTCATCTCTCCGTCTCCACTAGACCTCCTGCTCCTTCCGGCTGTGTCTCCACTGGCTGATGCAGCAAGGCACCCTTTGCCGTCCATGGTCCATGCTCAGGCAGTCTGTCTGTGAGAGGTTGGGCTGTTTCTTTGGTCTAGGCCCATTGTCTCTTAGCCTGGCCCCCAATGTACTCTTTGGAAGGGTCAAGGTGGGCAGTGTTACCCCAGTCCCCAAGTGGGCTCAGAAGCTGTTACTGGGCAGTGGCGGCCAGCTTGGAGCCATCGGTCTTTCGGGCAAAAGCTCGTTAGTATCACCTATTGGGCCAATTCTTCCCTTCTTCCCGAGGAGCTGCCAAGCCCTGATGGTGTTGAGAGCTGAAAGCAGTTTGGAATTAATGCAGTCAAATTCTTTTTTTTTTTTTTTTTCTATTGGAAAGGAGGTGGAAGCAGGAGGCAGGCCTGAGCTGTGTGCCACACACCAGGCTGAACCTGGTCAGACAGAAAACGCTGGTATCCATGGAGCAGGGCTCCTGGTTCTCAAGTGGTTCAGAATGGTCCTTGAGGAGGGTCAGGGCTGGCTGCCACTTGGGATCTACACACACACATCTTCATGTCGTCTTCAGCCTCACTCATACCACTCATGTGTACTTTTCAGTGACCTCATGCACACTCTGGCCACTGCCCAGAAAACATCCCACCCTCTGGACCATCTTGGGCCTGGGCCTAAGTGCATCCTGACAGGTACTCGTAGGCATCTGCCTCTTGGACCACTTGCCAGGTCCCAGAAATACTCCTCCTGGTGCCACCAGCCCCAGCTCTGCTGTCTAGCTTGCTGTTCCATTTCAGGAACAATGTCTCTGGACAATGTCTTCTGGTCAGCAGCAGCGGCTTTGGGGGAGCTCTGGCTGGGGCTGGGACCTGGAGCTCCTCGCATGGATCCCCTCTGTCCCCTGCACCACCTCCGCTGGCAATCTTTGTGGCTAGTCTAAGACTTGTGGACAGAGCCCTGTGTCTCCGGGGCTGCAAGGTAGAAAGTGGAGCCCCCCATTCATCTGAGGAAGCTTAGCACGTGTGCCTGCAAGCTAAGCTGGCAGAAGCCAGTGCCCCTAAAACCTTAAAGGGCCACAGGGGGCTCAGTCTCGGCTGAAGTCCCAGGCCAAGCCCTTGAACAATTGTGGCCTTGACCTGAAACAGATGAGTGGGAGGAAGGAAGGTCTGGGCTTGTGTTCACTTGATCACCTCAGATCTCTTCCTGGAAACGGGCAAGATTTCTTCAAAGAGCAGGGGAGGGTGGTAGGCAGCAAGAATTGTGGGACAGTGCTCAGGAGGAGTCTGAGGGAGGAGGAGCTGATTCTGAGCACTCCCTGTCTTGTGGCTCAGGCCCAGTGGCAAAGGTGGAGAGCAGGGACCGTTTCAGAGACAAACAGGAAGCTCACTGCATCGCTGTGTGGGGGCGTGGCCTGGGGACACTGGGAGTCGCTGGATCTGGCTGACTCCATTCCGTGGAGGCTTGAATGCTGGCCCAGGGCTCAGGCAGCTGCCAGCCCCTCACTCACAGGCATGT